TGTATATTATCACACCATAGTGCGATGAAATTGGAGATCCATAGCAAAAGAAACTCAAAAAATTTCATAAACATGTGGAAATCGAACAACACACTTCTGAATAACCAATGGGTCCCAGAGGAAATTAAAGAAGAAATCAGACAGCTCCTACAATTAAATGACAATGATAATACAACATATTGGCATTTATGCAACACAATGAAAGCAGTCTTACTAGGGAAATTCATAGCAGTGAATACTCATATTAGGAAAACATAGCGGGCCCAATTAAACAACCTGATGCTGAACCTCAGGCTTCTAGAAAAACAAGAGCAGGACCAACCCAAAGCTCATACAAGGGAGGAAATTATAAAGGTCAGAGCGAAATCAATGCAATGGAGACTAAGAGAATGACACAAAAAATCAATGAAGCCAAGAGTTGATTCTTCAAAAGAATAAACCAAATTGACAAACCCTTAGCTAACCCTATCAGTAAAAGGAAAGGCTCAAATCCATGCAATTAGGAATGAAAAGGATGAAGTTACAATGGACCCAGCAGAAATCCAGAGGATTATCAATACCTACTTTGAGAACGTATATGCCAATAAGATGGACAAAACAGAAGAAATGGACAGATTCCTAGATACATATGAATTACCACAGTTGAACGAAGAAGACCTAAAAATTCTAAACAATGCAATATCAATAAATGAAATTGAAGACATAATTAAAAACTTACCAACTAAGAAAAGTCCAGGTCCTGATGGCTTCACTGCCGAATTCTGCAAGACATTTAGAGAGGAATTACTGCCACTACCGTTTAAACTCTTCAATGAAATTGAAAGGGAAGCAATATTCCTGAATTCATTCCTTGAAGCAAGCATCACCTTGATCCCCAAAGCAGAGAGAGACCCAACTGAAAAAGAGAACTATAGGCCAATCTCACTAATGAACATAGATGCAAAAATTCTTAATAAGATACTGGCAAACAGAATGCAGAAGATCATCAAGAAGATCATACACCCTGACCAAGCAGGATTCCTCCCAGGGACACAGGGATGTTTCAACATATGCAAATCAATAAGTGTAATACACTATATCAATAGAGCCAAGGACAAAAACCATATGATCATCTCAATAGGTGCAGAAAAAGCATTTGACAAAATCCAACACATGTTTATGATTTAAAACTCTACAAAAAATTGGAATTCACGGTCTCTACCTCAATCTGGTAGAAGCCATCTATGAAAAACCAACAGCCAATATCATACTAAATGGTCAAAAACTGAAATCCTTCACACTAAAATCAGGAGCAAGACAAGGATGTCCACTATCAACACTCCTGTTCAATTAGTCTTGGAAACATTAAACACGACAATTAGATAAGACAAAGAAATAAAAGGAATAAAGATAGGAAATGTAGAAGTCAAATTGTCATTATTTGCAGATGACATGATACTCTATATAGAACCCCCAAGAACTTCACCAAAAGTCTTCTACACTTAATAACCAAATTCAGTAAAGAGGCTGGATACGAGGTCAACACACAAAAATCAACTGCTTTGCTCTACATGAACAGCAGCCTCACTGAGGGAGAAATAGGGCAAACAATTCCTTTCACAAAAGCATTTAAAAAACTGAAATACCTAGGAATCATCCTAACAAAAGAAATCAAAGACCTCTTCTCTGAAAACTATAGCACTCTGAAAACAGAGATTGAAGATGATATCAGAAAATGGAAAGACACCCCTGCTCCTGGGTAGGAAGGGTGAACATAGTGAAAATGGCCATACTTCCAAAACTGCTATATAGATTCAATGCAATCCCAATTGAAATTCCAGAAGCATACTTCCCGGACCTTGAGAAAACAATCCAAAAATTCATTTGGAACAAGAAGAGACCTAGAATACCAAAAGCAATTCTAGGTAACAGAAACATAGCAGGTGGTATCACAACCCCCAGCTTGAAACTATA